GGCTTGTAGGCGTACATGGCCACGTATCTGCCAGGACAACCGTGGAACAAGTCAAGGCTTGGCTTCCCGTTGCGCAGTTTCACCGGTATTATATGTGTATAGAACTGTGTAGCTCGCAAAAAAAGAGAAAACTGTCATGTTGTGGAATTTATTCTTGTTGTGGTATTTTTCTTTTATTTGTATGAGAGAGAGGTTAAAGAGAAAAAAAATGTTGGTTTACCAAAGGTCACAAATGAGCAGGAGCCATTCGGCCATCTAGATGATTTGGAAGTAGTTAAATTATCCAAGGACCTCATCCAGCCGCTTTCTGAACGAAGCCAAAGTGTCGGCTTCAACAACAAGGCTGGGTAGCTTGTTCTAGACTGCCCACAATCCTTTGCGTAAAGAAGTGCCATGTATCTGCCCAGTGATGTCAAGGCTTGGCCACCTGAGTTGGACCCAGTGGACTGAGCTGGCACTGAAGAGGGCCAAGAGTACACTGCCACTGGGGTGCCAATGACTGACCCCGACCTTGGCAATAAATAGGTTAGGCGTGCACTGAAAGGAAATCCATTTCTCGTTTCCATTAAGGACAAAATTCACTCTTTTGTGTGATTTTTAAGCAAATGTTTATACTGCAGCATCTTAAGAGATAAAAGCCACATAGGAACATATGAAATGTTACAAATAGATGTTAGCAGTTAATTGATCTTAGGATCTCATCCAGCCTTCTCTAGAAAGAAACAATATGGCTGGGTAGCTTGTTCCACAATTCTGCAACCCTGTGGGCAGAGAAGTGCCTCCTGTGTTCATTTTAAACGCACTTCATAAAACACTGCACTAACTTTTATGGTCTTATCATGTACAAATTTAAAAGTATTGTAGTACTTTGATATTAAAGTCTGTACTGTATGTTATCTTTAAAAAAGAAAGCATTTTGCTTTCAGTTTATAAGTTTACTTTTGTTAGTACCCAGGTTTGTGGACTTAATCTTTAAATCACAAACATGGGCCAATAAAGAAGTGAGTCTATAATTTATTAAACTGACAGACACAAACAGGATATGATGAACACTGAGGATTTTCATCTACGAGTTAATCTGCAATCAAACGCAAAAAAAAAAGACCCAACAAAACAACAAAGCTAGGCACCCACCGCAGAGGGGTTACTTCTCAAACCACAAAGTGGAAACGTGAGGTTTGATAAAAAGAGCCTTTTGGTAGCTGTGGCAACAGCACAGTTAAAACATAATTGTGGCAGCAGTTTGTCAGCCATCAGTGTGTAGGTAATCTGCCCAGGACTGTTGACAGATTCAAAGAAACAGAGTACGCTGTCAGCCTGTCTTTAATGTGACGTCTGTAATAAACGGAGGCTCCGGGATGCAGCACTGATGAGCACAGTATTTGGCAGACAAGGAGTGCGGAAAAAGGGAAATATCTGATAAAAAAAAGACAGCACTGCTGCACCATGGCTCCACAGTTTCTGGAGTTGCAGACTGGATGAGTTTCAATTACATTCTCCTGCCTTTTTTTTTTAAATACCCACTTTGATGTCTGTCTTACTGTACTTAAAATAAAATGAAGACGGGAGTGGGGATGGGAGTCTATAGAGGGAGGGGGAGTTAAGTCCAGCAGAAGAGCTGCAGAGCTCTCTCCGAGGGCAAACTGCGCTCAAAGGCCCAGATGCTGTGAGCCCAGACCTGAGCCTGAGGTTAGGCTATGTCACCTGCATGCCATGGCCTGTATTACCCAGGTGGGAGCGCACAGCTGGGTTAATCATCTACAGCTCTCTCGCCTCTTGGCTGCTCTTGGCAAAGCAGCGACCTCAGGTAGGTACGCACCACTCCTCCAAGTGGCATCACCCCTTCTGTAGGACACTGAGCAGCTTGCCAAACATCAAGAGCCTACATTAGCCATATCACTCTGCAAGTCACAACTGGCAACCCACTGAAGCTAAGCAGGTGTGAGCCTGGTCAGTACCTGGATGTGAGACCTCCTGGGAAAAACGAAGGTTGCTGCTGAAAGAGGTGTTAGTGGAGCCAGCAAGGGGCGCTCACCCTGCAGTCCATGTGGGTCCTAATGCCCCAGTATAGTGACGGGGACACTATACTGTAAACAGGCGATGTCCTTCAGATGAGACGTAAAACTGAG